AATATAGCTTACCCCATAAGATCAGCTGAATTTGTAGATACACATAGATGTATCAACATGCACATTTCAAAGAACTTATATCATTCTAAAGTTAAATGATATTAAATGTACTTGAGGAATAGTATTTTCTTTTCTCAATATTTAGATAACCTCAATATTACAGCATACATATTCCTGTCAGTTATAAATGATATTGTATACCAAGGTTTTTAAAAAAAATTTTTATGGTTGATCATTGTCAGTTGAAATTTTGAGTTTAACAAACTGTCGGGAAAGAAAAGTGTGTTAAAACTAATTCACAATGATTAACTTTGAACCTGGTTTTTTCTTGAGAAATAAAATGATGAATTGGTCTACGACTGACCTTGTAGATTCTTGAGGGGGTAATAATTGGCATACGATCATACTTCTGATAACAACAAACATATGTGTTTTAAGTGATCTCTAATGTCGTTCCAGGTATGACAGTGATTTTCACTTTCACCCTGTTCAAACCATGAGAGGATGGATTTTTTTGAGGTACCTAAAATGGAAATTATATTAGCGATGGTCTTGACTACTTGAGAACGTGACCACAATGCCCGAAGAACAACTGATTGGCCTGTCACACTGATGTTTAATGAGTAATTTTTGATAAGTTGGTTCCATACGTTAAAGTCCTTACCACTAGTGAAAGAAGTTTACAAGATAATATGGGGTGTGTCACTTTAAGACCAGTCTTATTCGATTCCTTTCCTTCCATTGTGGGAAGGCAGTGTATCTCTAGATCCTATGTGTTTAAGGAAGACACATTATTATCGTCACACCCCTGTACAAATACCTTCACGAATAAACTATCAGGTGATGGGTTTATTGCTTTTTAACTTGGTCGTCTTTCACCTGACCTACATTGTGTGGTAGGATCTAAAAGAATATGTTCCATGTGGTGTTGTTTGATTAGATTATTGTGATATTCAGACCTGATTGCCAAGTTAAAGTAACATCCAACGTTAAGGTATAAGCCAATATCATTTATTTTAATACATAATTTACTACCTATATTGTACGTTCAGATAAAAATTTAATACTATATCCACATAAATAAGTAACCAGTAAAGGTAGTTATCTTTGTGAAGAAAAAGAATTACTATTGTAATAGACGCTACTATTAAGGTTGTTTGTAAGTTATGTGTAAGAGAACGTGGCATCGAAGTTGCAACATATATCGGACGGATTAAAGAGTATCAGTGTATCGAAAGTACGGCGTTGATAGAACATTTAGATATCAGTCTAGAAGATAGTCTAGATTGCAGAATGGATCGAAAGTTATTAATGAATGAAACTACTTGAAATTCGGTCTATTTAGCTCAAATTTAGTCCTCATGTCACTTCTACGTCCATATAAATGTAAATAAGTCAAATAAATTTGTTACTGTATTGGTTACACAGTGGATAAACAACGTGGATTGCTACATTAATTTATTCATTGAGATCCTAAATCTATCAGTGTTAGATGAAGCATTAAAAACCTGGAAGTAATGATGGCCTAATATTGATCAGTTCATCATCTTAATAAAAACTCAGCAATCTCCATAAATCTATACTTTTAACGTATTAAATTTACTGAATGTCTGAACTTTACATGTTAGTGAATATGAGGTAGTATCATTCAAAGCAATAGGTTATGAGTTCAAACTGCCTTATGGGCATCAATTTTTGAATAATAGTAAATTAGTTCAATTGATGATTTTCAATCAGGACTATATTTGTTATAACTTGTGACCGTCAATTAGGGAATAGTGAATTATAGACCGAACCAATCATGCGTAAAATACATGTGAGGAGTCTAGAGTCCTGATTGGTCCTGTTTTCCGCCTAGATCAGTCAGTTAAGTCCAGAACACCAATCTCATCCTCTGCAATATGAATCATTTATTTCAAACATACGGGGTTTATATACCAATCAAACAGACCACAACGTACCAATAAAATAGGAAACAACATTTGTATAAGATCTAGCTCAAAAATGGCTGTGAATGTGAGAGACTGTAATTGACAGACTGGGCATAAATCAAGAATGGTAAATCGTACAATAATAGTTCATAGGTCAAAATGAAGCTCATAATAACTGGGACATGAATATGTCTAGTTTGGTTATTTAATATACTGGTCTATAAATGGATCTAAAAAATTACCACTCACTATTATTCTTATCGGGACATAACAATGTAGTGAACAAGAACATCAGTGGGGACAATCGAATGTATTTAACGCAAAATTACAGAACTTGTTAATAAAATCTAACAATCAAATAGTGAATGCTCAATTTGCAAAATGCCCACTCATTGTCTCAAAATGACCCAGACTTCATTGTTCTCGCATTTTCATACAAATTGCATCCTATTCCATTCTATACTGTTCGATCCTTTTGTTTCTCTGCTGCCAGACCTTCTGTTCACGACTAACATCATATACTACTTATGTCAATATAAGTAGCACACACCATAACAATAGTATACCACTAGGATTGTAATATTATTTACAATTAACTAGGTTAATAATTCCTAGAATTTTCATGTTTCTCATTATAAACAGAAATAATTCATACTTGAAGCCATGATATGAATAGAAACTTTTTAAAAAAAATTAGAATGTTTCCGTGACCTGATACAAATCTGATTGACATTGGTATACTATAAGATACACACAAAAAAAAACTACATGATGAACTTTATTTTAATAATAATAATAATAATAATAACAGCGAACTAAGTGGTAATGTAGATTGTTTTCAATACTCATTGACTAAGTAAATTTAGTTAGTTGGTTCACTTTTGTATCTCTCTTATCCACTTACCTACTCACTCCCTCTCTCACTCTCTCTTTCAATACTATGTTTCTTAAATGTATTATTAACAAAGATACATGTATTATTATATACAGTAATAAATAATCCAATCTGTATAATAATGTGGTGGATTGAAAAAAAAATGTTATGATCCATGAAACATTGAGTAGGATATGTTGAATCAGGTCATTGACTAACTGATTACCATTGATAAACAATATAAACTTGTTATGATTTTCCAAGTTTTTCGTTTGTTTGTTGTTGTTGTTGTTGTTGTTGTTGTTGATCCGTTTTAATTTTCATCATAAATCAATCATGTGTAATGTAAAGGATGAGATATATGTTTATAAGTTTGTAGCACAATTCCCTTTCCATGTTTAATGTATATATGATATCTAGGATTTTTCTATTTATTTAAAGAGTGTAGCATGTTTACAATAAGACTATAGTTTTTACACAGGACTTCATTTCATGATTGAACTTAGGTTTTTACATCCGGCAAGTTGTGATGGGCTCCAGTAGGCTGTTAACCGAAAACATATGTAGATATTTTATTGAAATCACGAGTTGACCCAAGTTAGATAAACATTGAAAATCTAGAAGCTCTAGGCAACCGTTTCTTTCTATTCTAAGACTTCACAGAAGTGCTCATCAACTACTTTGTATTCGAGAATCGAATGCAGGATCTTCGGTCTCATGCATTAGTAAAGATTACGCCCTCATCTGCAACAATGATACAATAAGTGGACGGTAAACTGGTCGAAAATACACAATATCACACTTTTATTTAACGTTGAAAAAGCATGTTTATCTCCACACAAAGTGTAGTGAGCGCTTAGTTGCCAAATCATTTTTATTTTTGGGGGGTGTTACTACTCACATATAACATTTCAATATAATTAAGTAATATATAGCTCATAAGTGAATAAATATATCAGACACTTGAAGATAACATTCTAATTTGTATTTATAAGCCTTGGATAATGAATCAAACATATTTCTCAACAGATTGGTTTTGAATGTATACTCTATTATTTACGTTCTCGTGATACGTGGTCAGCTTATTTACTGAGCACGTAAATTAGGCTTTGCCAGTATCAATACGTTCACCAGAGTTTTATCGTGAAGGAACAATTTTTGATTGATGACTGATGAACATCACCAGAGGGTAATAAAGATCACAATAGCCTAGGTGTATACACTCTCTTTGCCTTCCATTAAACTAAGAGATTAAAATCACTTCATATCTTTCTTTCTACGAGCTAATTCTTTCTTCTTGTACTGTATCCTTATATGCAATCTTCCTTTTATGTATTACCGTCATTGACTTAACCACTCCTATGAATCCGGTGTTCATCTTGCTGTGCTAATGGGTATGGCAACTTGAACCGATGCATATATGTGCCTGGTCCCATGTTGTAGCTGACTGACTGACTGAATAAAAATTAAATTATAATTTAACGAGTACAACATTGAGGAGCGAATGAGTAATAATTCGTAAAGTGACAAAACATATGTCTAATTTATGTTCTGAAGATTTCCATATATGTTTCGAAGAATGGAAACGGAGATAAGAATATAACTACAAAAGAAACGTATTTTGAAAGCAATAAGGCTGATGTGTGTTTAACCTTATGAAATGTATTTTCATGACTTCAGTTTGCATATTTACTAAACAGATTAATTACATGTTGGATGCCGGCTCAGCGGTCTAGAGGTTAGGCGTTCGCACGCGAGACCAACGTTCTTGAGCTCTATTCCTGGGTTTAGAGTCGCTGATGAGGACTGCTGAGGAGTCCTGTACTAGGAGCAAGTGGCTATTCAATACTTTCAGGTCTCAATTAGTTATTTAATTAAGGTCACTTCGCGATTAGAGCGGCGAGAATTATACAATCCCCATAAATCTGCTTTTACATTGATGATAATTAATTATAAGTAAATAGACCAAAGTTGGATTATGAATTAAATTTATCAACCATTTATAAATTCGTTTATAACAAATAATGACTTCCTCATGAGTATTACAGACTGTTATGAAATTTTTGTTTTTATTTGACCTTCCTACATTCAGGGTCATCTGTAGATACCAAGACAATATCTGTAGATTGGTTGTCAATGATTTATATGCTCACTTATATTCCATTGATATTTCCTTCTAATTGGATACTGAATAGATGGGGTCTGCGTGTAACTCTGCTAGTTGCTTCAGCTTTGAATGCAGTCGGTGGTTGTATTAAATGTATAGCGGGTGCAGTTACGTATGAAACAACGTTTGGGCAGTCTAATAAATCTATTCCATTCAGTAATAAACTTGGTTTTCCAATACTTATGGCTGGACAAACTATTTGTGGAATAGCTCAATCCGGTATATTGGGTATACCAGCCCACTTAGCAGCAGTTTGGTTTGGAGTGAATGAAGTTTCAACGGCCACTGCACTTGGTGTATTCGGGAATCAAGTAAATTTGTATTGTCTACACTGTTTTTTCGCCGTTGATTGATATTAGGCTATATAATTAATCAGTCTCGACCGAAATATGTGGATTCTGAACGAATTAACTTAATGTTATCATCTAATTACATGTTTCCAATAGAACTCGGTGTTGACTAACAATAATATCCTAGATTCATGTTCTAACCTACTTGGAACTCATCAACAAGACATATCAACATTTCAGTGTTGATGTCCACCCTAAGACAAAACATAGTACCTATTACTTCGAAAGTCGACACCTTATACACTGAACTACCGCTAGCTTATGCGATGGGTATGCATGAAATGCATATTCTATATCCTACTACTAGTCATAATTTAACATTAACAAATGCATATAGATAAACTATCTTTTTATATAAATCACAGTTACAACAAATTGTAAGTATTTAATATCACTTGATTAGAATGTATTAATTTTTAGTTGTTTACTCTTAGGTGGTAGATGTGTATTTTACAGTTAAATGAGATAAGATGATAAGTAATTGATTAAAAATTATTACAATTATTTTTCAATATCGCATATTAACATTATATTCAAAGATGGATAGTGGCTGGCGATGGAGTCCAGGACGTGGCCCACTTCGTCCTATTTGGGGCTCGTCAGCTGGATGTACCCGCATCTTAGTGTTTATGTTCACTCTGGAACTAGAACTCAGTACCGTTCACTTCAAACTCCATCGCGTTGTCCACTTATCTACTGAGTCCCGATAGACACTTGCTTGTACAATGGAGTGAAGTTTAAATTCACTCGGTATCATTTGTTTGCTACCATTCATTTTTGCATATAATGCTTGTGAATTAAGGCTATATCGAGGCAATCCACATAGGATATATTTAATATATAATGCATATATTTAATATGTGCCTAGTAGTTAAATCCAAGATTCACTATACCATTCTATCCGAGACTTTTTGCTTTGGTGTACCAGAATTTGAATGTTGATGTTTAGACCAATAATTGAGCTCGGTATTTGTCAACCCTAAACGTCCAACGCGTTATCCACTAATTTTTTAAAAAAACAAGAATTTACAAACCCTTTCTAATATTTTCATACATGTTGAATAAGTTGATAGCCATTTGGACTGACTAGCTGACTGTTGGGTATCTGATACTAAACGACCTAGGTTCGAATCCTAGTGTGACTATTAATAGTGGGGTGAGGAGTAAATGTAATTAATGAGTCCCAAACAGAATGTAATGTGCATCCTTTACTCAGGACTGATATTTTGTCTTGTTCGTGATTTATCAAATGGATGTTTTCGTATCTCATTGTTCCTGTTTACTATGAAATTGTAAAGCAGTGCTTATTGCTTCAAACAATAATGCTCTGTCTATAGAACTGCGAAGTCCAAATCTACAATAGCTTATACATTGAGTGGGAATTTCGTTCTTTTAAGTTTGTATAAGCTTCTGAACTGCAATTAATCAATTGCTTTTATGATAAGTCCTAATCGACCGATTAGTTGCATTCCTCAATACCATTAAAAAAATATTAAAAATCTACAAATTTTGATAAGTTCAGTTGATTAGATCACTTGGCTAAAATTCAACACTGTAATGTAATACACAACCTAAGAGATCAAAGTAGAAGGTTTAGCGTTTACTTTTGATGTGAAGTCATTACATTCACCAAATATGATGTGGACTGTGGTCATTTTTCAGCTCTAATTTTAAACAAAAGAAATAAATCTTTTCAAATCATTGATGAAATATTTACAAAACATGATACACTATGCCAATCAAATGATACGTGCATCTGATTACCTGAGAGATGACTTTTATCTCTAAGTGACATGACATGAACAACTGATAGGTTTAGCTTCCTAAGGGTTATATATATATATATATATATATATATATATCTGTATCAAATCTTAGAAACTATGTATCACTGCACAATATTAAAAAAAACCATTTTTCTGTACCTTACTGATTAAACATCTCTTACAAAAGATTTTTGACAGTTGAGATCATGAGTCGATTGAAGTTAGACCACCACGGAAAACCTTAAAGCACTGGACGGCCGTTTCGTCCTCGGATGGGACTCCTTGGCATTGCGCATCCACGATCCCGCCTCACGAGATTCGAACCCAGGACCTATCAGTCTCGCACGCGAGCGCTTAACCTCTAGACTACTGAGCCGGTAGGCCTCCAACGGTGTTAATATCTAACTTTAACTAATCCATGAAATTGAACGGCACATCCACCATTGTCTTCAGTGTATTACTATTTCACAACAGATACGGTTGAACTATACTGGTCACTGCTTCTCACTAGAATTCCAGGACATACTGTAGTGTCAGTTATTATATTAAGCCCATATACCTTATTCTAGCTTTCGGACATCCCATTCTATTCATTCTACTTGAGCCATACTTTGACCTTGTTATTTATTCGCTTATCAATCTAGACTGTTTTTATATGAGCGTATATGTGTGTGCCCTTCTTATCCCATTAATCACATGTCTGTAGCTTAATTTTGTCTGACTATAAATATTGAGTAACGCTTGACTAAAAAGGGAGTTGGCTTCCCAGCCATCTTCCCTGCGTGTCATTTTGCTTTGCTCTGTTTCATTCGCTTCATATACGAAATATATGTATACACAGGTCAATTCTCGTTATTCGACTTATTTAATTCCGTTATTGACTAACGCGATTTAAGTCGACGATTATATACGAGAATAAGCGATAGCAAACATCCATACTATCTAATTGGAGTCAGATTCACGGGCCACTAAAATACCACTTGAAGCCAGTCACCAATGATCATATGCTGATTAGTATCAGAAGGGGTTTTTATGGACAAATATAATTTCTTAACCTACTATTGTAAAGTTTCTATTACTGACAGTAAATTTTGTTAGTTGTACATGTGTGTTTGTGTGTGTAAATATGCGTATTCTGATGTTACTGTATTAACATTTTGCCCATTAATATTTTTATAGAATTTAATACATTATACCTCTATGACATTGAGACCTAAATTTTGATCATTCTATTGACATATGTATATCTTGTATAGATTACTTTACCATATCCATATTGTTACAAGTTTCATATTGTATAGATGGAACGTAGTTAACAGTTACATGTAATTAGTCCTAAATTAAATGAAACACTTGGAATAAACTCCAACATTAGCCATAAAAATGTCATCTGTTCTATAAACATTGTTCATCTGACTGATTGTATAGAATTATTCTTTTCATTATTTATTATTGTTCTAGCTTGGTGTTGCATTTGGTTTTCTAGTACCACCACTTATTTTACCATCGATACCGTATAGTTCAAATGGAACTAATCAAATTGATCCAACAACAGATATGAATGAATTATTCAATAAAATTAAACACTATATGATGATTATGCTGTATTTTAGTGCTGCTTTAAATATTCTTCCATTTATATTTGTATTGTTTGGTAAGTTGTCGAATATAATTCATTGCATAATTTTCAAGTTTCTGTAATAAACCGTTGACATGATCAAGGTCTATTAAAGTACAAATCGTTACCCATCATATTATATGGTTTGAAACATCTTGTAGGGAAATTTGATCAGTATTTAACATAATACTGTTTGATGAACAATCTTGGAGTAACCTATGCCTCTGTGATATGTGGGCTGACATTCACAATTGATTGATCATTGGGTTGTGATCAATGTCATGCTGGTCTAGTCCTTATTGGTGCAGATCGAATGCCATCGATCATGTTGCAATGTGGCCACCAGTCTAGGTGACTCGACACTGCGGGCACTATGTATTGAGACTTAGATGATAGTTGGAGGTAGTCAACAGGAAACCCTGGACCCGGGTTTCGTGCTACTTGGCACTCGTCAGCAAGGTGTACCTGTAATCTTGAGGGAGCTGGTGCTCCCTGGCGGACTGACATTACGTAATGTTACTGTTTCAATGCATTGACATTGAATTATTTCGAAAACGACTGATCTCTTCTAGAATTGAGATTGACATAATACCACCAGTATTGCTTTAGTTATAAGTTGGATATATACTTTAAGCTATACTTGACTGACAACTGATTGACTTAGTTGGCTGTCGATAAAGAGTTATAAAATACTTACTCTCTCTCTCTGTCTCTCTCATATCGCTTTGGTTCAACTTGTTTTAAACTGAAAAATGATTGAATAAGCAATTAATTTTCAGTTTTCAATTTTTTGGTGAATTTTCGTTCTTTGAGTTGGACGGTTTAATAATGGAGCTTCTATTGCTTCAAGAAAAAGTGAAACAATCAAAATAGATGTCTAGAAAATTACAGGTTAAAGGTCACCACTGACCAATCAAGATGACAGGAGAACTTGTCAACTTATACATGGAGAAATTCTAATACCTTAATTCTACTTGAAATTTATGCTGATGATATTGTTCAAAAGAACAATGAAAGCTTTGTGATTAAGTCATTCAGCTTACAGGAAAAAAAATCCCACCTATAAATCTTTTCTACCGTTTCAGTTTTTTAATAATAATGTAATATGAGTTCAATTTGGAAGCTAGGATGATGTTAATGTTTTATATTGTGAACAATCATAGTTACACATTATTGTTAAACGAACACGTCAGTTTTTTTTAACTTTTATACAGTTGTATAAGATCATGAACTTGATTTAAAATCTTATTAAAAATCTAGTAGTTGAATTCATGAGTCAATTGAAGCTAGACACCACCATGACAAACCTAGAAAGCACTGGATGGTCATTTTGTCCCGGTATGGGACTCCTCAGTAGTTCATACCTACGACCCCACCTAGTGAGATTCAAACTTCATACCTTTCAGTCTTGCGCGAGAGCACTTTAACTCTAGACTGATAGGTCCGAGGTTTTGATTTGATTTTGATACTCAGAACTATGAAAGAATTCTTTTTTAAGACTTTAAAATCTGGATCATCTAATTGATCTCTATTTTATTTTCAATATGACATTGATAAGTTAGAAAAAATGTTTGATTGAGAGGTTTGTTGAAATTAATAACAGTTAAAGTCTAGTTTTTTTTTATGGATAGATGTTGATTGAAAAGATATTGAGTACTAGAATGCATAGTGAACATTATGTTTCGTCATATTATGGATCTTTTTAACATTAGACACTTTTATTTGACTCCAATTAGATCATTTGATGATTAAGTGACAGATTGTTAATGAAATATACATCCTAGCTACCCTTGCTTAGAATAATTAACTTAAATCACTTCAGTGAATAACGGAATTACATAAGTCAAATATGAGAATGGAGTTTGAATCCGTATATTTCACACAATCGTTGATTCAGACAGACAATCAGAAAAACAAAGTGAAGATAGTGAAGAGAATAGATGAGAACGAAACGAATCGGAAAAGGCATGTTAGCCAACTTCAATTGATAAAGTGTTACTCAATATTTACATTCAGATAAAAATAGATTACATACACGTGATGAAGAGGGTAAGCAATTAACAGACGATCATATAAAAACAGTTAGGGTTAAATAATCGAATAAGTGACAGTGTAAAAATATTGAGGACGTTAGATCCCCAGAACTCACTTGGGAGAGAACCTAATTTTGTAATTTTATTTAGAAAATTCGAATTTCTTTATTTTCGCGCCAAAGGCGATCTTGTCACCTTCATGTCGTATTTCCCAGTGGGAAAATATCTTAAATTCTATTGGTCCGTTGCGTCTCTTAGTATGCTATTTGGTAACTCTTCCCAAGGACGGTTTTGCACTGTATATATGCGTTTTGAATTGTGTTTGTTGTTATCGCTCATTTCTGGCTGTTTACAGAATATGCTTCCCCATTCCGAACTTGGACTTCTCCCTGTAGTTAGCGGGGCTGGAACGCATCAATAGCTAGCTTACTGTTCTTTGGTCACCGAGTCTTGTTCTCGCTCGCAGATTAAATGAACTCGTGATAGCTTCACACCTAGCAAAAAATGTGGCTTGTAACGAATGGAAAGATGAGTGGTCTGTCCAGTGGCTAGAATGACCTATATGGGCTTGACATAGTACCAGCCCTTACAGCACTTACAATACAGACAGTCCTTAAACCTATAGTATTTAGATTTCGCGTCATGTACTTAAACTGTAGAGTATAAAGCTGAAATTTGCAGTACACCATGAAGTCATCTAATTCCATAAGTTTCTGAATAAAATCTAACACAAAAACATACAAATCGTCTAAATTATATACCACTATCAAATGTTAACTAAAAATACCAATTGATTGGAAACAGTTAGTAAGATCACTTAAGTCTAACTATTATGGTAGTTACCAATCGACATTATATTCATTCTTGATAAAATATCATCACCTAATGTCATATTCATTGGTGTTACCATTGGACTTTTTAGGTAGAATATTTTTCACTAAGTAGAAACTATCAATCATTTTTTTCATAGTTTATATCATGAACCGATGTTTAGAGACCTTGAATGACATGGCTAAAAATCGTTTGCAATGGCGCAAGTACATCCACTTTTTGTGTTCTCCCAAATTCTAATCTTCTGAATTCTTCATGTCCCTTTTTTTCTCTTTCCAAATTTATTTCACTGGATTATACTCGTTGAATAACATCTTCAAACCCTCATCATTCCGATTACTGCTTATACTTTTACTACTTCTACCACGACAATTGTATCTGTGTGCTAATGTCGTATGCCAACTCGAACTGATGTACGTACGTACAAAGTTCTATGTTGTTACTGACTGACTTATATCATGAACTGTTCTTAGTTAGATAACTACTGAAAACTAAATATCCCTGGAAAATTGTTGAAAATATGCATTCATCTTAGAAAAATATGACATTTCATCAATTAAAATTGATAGGAATCAAAATAACATCCTCACCTATTAATCAAGTTTAAACAGTTAATTGGTGATGTCTACATAAAGGTGAATGATATGTAGTTTAATAGAAATAAACGGTAGGTAATAATGTGATCAGTCAACTTGTTTATGACAAGATGAAAATACACATAAGCTTTGTCGAAACACTAAGACAAAGTCGGCATATTGTAATTTGATCAAAAGAATCTAATTATTATTAAATGACTAGACAAACAATAATATTAATCACTACACAGTAGTCAATCACAGTGTCAAATACTTCAAGTCAATTGGGTCATGGACACTATTTGTATATTAAACCAGTATATTTAAACTACATGATTCATATCACAGAGGCTGAGATTAGTGTTCTGGACTCAACAGGCAAGGTTAGGCAGGAGGAACGACCAATAAAGTCTGTAGACTGCTCGTACGAGTTTTATGCGTCATTGATCCCGTTGATAAATCACTGTTCTGTGATTGGCTGTATCATTACACTATATATTGATAGGAGCAACAGGGTCACAAGTTATGACAGACACTCTAATGGTGATATCTCTGAGTGTGTAGCTGAATAATACAGATTTGGGCGTCAAATAGCACAAAACTTAGATCCAGAAGAGAATCCTTCTAAATACTTACAAACACCTAATGAACATATCTTTTATGAGTGACATAATTTAAACATTGGAAACTTATATAATCATACATCTTTATTTAAGTTAATTAATTCATTAAATGATTTAGTTCAATTAAGGAGTTAATTGAATTCTATTGTTTTATAATCGATTCTGATTTCTGGACATGTAGGCAATCCACTTTATGTAATTCACTGAAATATTAATTTGTTATCTTAAAAAACCTATAATGTATTCATATTTCTTAATAAAGAGTTCAAATTACTGAACCCAATTGTTTTCCAATAAATACAATATTTCAATAGTTGAGATAATGAGTTAATTGAAGCTGGACCATCATGGGAAACCTAGAAGCACCGGACGGCCGTTTCGTCCTATTATGGGGCTCCTCAGCAGTGCACATCCATGACCTTGCCTCACAGGATTCAAACCCAGGACATATCAGTCTCGTGCACGAGCGCTTAACCTCTAGACCACTGAGCCGGTCGGCATCCAGCCGTGTTAATGTCTAACTTCAACCAATCCACGAAATTGAGTGGTACATACAATATTAATAATAAAAAATTCAGCAATCTATATTACGTTCTAAAAGATGGTGAATGTGAAATATTGGTTCTTAAATAGTTCTCTCAAGAGAATAAAACAACAATTCTTTGGCATTATATTTGGAATAAACAGCGAGACTATAATTTCCGAACAAACCAATCAGAGATAAGATAACACGTCTAGGATTTTGGTGCAAAATTCACTCATCCAATTGGATAAATTGAGTTTTAGCATTATAGATGATGTCAGTTCGTGATGAAAACCGCAAATCTAATTCTTAACATCAATCATCAACTGTTAATCATTATTGTAATCCCTCACATTGGTTTATAATCGTCATTTGGTCCTAGTTATTAGGTGTACACTCTGAAGGTCACTTTAGCGTCGCTCAAAGGTCGTCCATAAATGATAGTCTCACCGAATAAACTTTGCTTTGTTATAAATTAATTATTAATCGTTTGAATTCAATTTTATCCTTTATTCAATTCTATTAAGGTTTTCGTGCAAAACCTAAAACTGAACCAAGTTTAGCACAATATAAACGTAGTGGTTCATCGGTTATTCATAAATTACATGTAAATGACCAATTATCCATTGATAACAAACCTTCAAATGGAATTCATTCAATAGTCAATAATAATGGTCTACACGAAAAGAAAAACAATATTGATAAAGGTAATATATTGTTGTTGTTATATCCTGATGATGAGAATAATGAATGGTAACTTTTAGGATCCATTTATGAACTAATACTGTATATATATATATATATATATATATATATATATATATATATATATATATATATATATATTGTATAAGTGTTAAATAAGTAAACTGTCAATATTCATGTTCTTCTTATCATAAGCTTTATTTTGACCTATGAACTATTATTATACGATTTACCATTCTTGAGTTATGCCCAGTTTGTCAATTCCAGTCTCCCGCATTCACAGCCACTTTTGAAATATAATGATTCATATCGCGGAGGCTGAGATTGGTATTCTGGATTCTAACAGACAGGCATAGCTAGGCAGGAAGAAGGAACGATAAGGCTTCTAAACTGCTAGTACGGGTTTATACGTCATTGGATCGGTCGATAAATCACTGTTCCCGAATAGGCGTTATCATTACGTTATACATTGATAAGGTCACAAACCCACAAGTTATAACAGTTTTCATGAAATGACTGTAACTCTCTTGTTTTCTTTTTAAATATTTTTCCTAGAATTCTATACAAAATCATTAGATGCTGATCAACAATATCCAGCGCTTAGTCCAAATGAACATTCAATATCATCAACAAAACAGGATACCCTAAATACAAATGATTCAATAATGAATAATTTTATTATCAATATTGATGATAAAAATGATATCAGTAGTATAGATAATTATTCATATCAATCATTACAAAATAATCCTAGGAATGAAACTATTACAATGGCATTAAAACGTTTGTTTAAAAATACTCCATTCATTTTATTGTTTATTAGTTATGGTAAGTATATTTGAAGTTTATTTTGTTTTTAATATGACCATATTTTGTACATACCATGATTATCGTAAACTTAATCCTTATGTTATGATTCAATCAGGAAGAGGAGTTACCTGAAAAGAAAACTGGATCAAAGGTGATCTTAGTGACCTGAGAGCGTGACCGCAATGCCCAAGGGTCAACTGCTTGAGGTCGGTCACACACGACCTTTTTATGAGTAATCTTTGTGTTAGCTCCGTACTTGTTGAGACCTTACTGCCGGAGACGGATATCCGTGAGATAAGGCGTGGTGTGCAGTTTTACGGTCGACCTTTTCTAACCCCACCCCTCCTTGTGGAAAGGCAGCATCGCTGTCATACTGGTTGTCTGAAGGAAACACCTTACTGTTGTCACACCTTTGTACAGTTAGCAGTACGACTTCACCTTCGGACCTTAGGTTTGTTGCTTTTAGTCTAAATGCTCTTCAACCGACCTGTCTGACATGGTAGGACCTTGAGGAACGGTTGTTCCAGCCAGTAAAGCTCGGTTGCTTCATCACGATAGGAAAGCCCGACTACCACGTCAAGGTAGCAACAACGGTCGGGTTATGTTATGGTTTCTATTTATGGAATGTTTGAAATGGTTTCTCAAATTAGGAATGGTAAACTTTTAAAGGTGTATATTGAATAAACAACTATGGGATGATTCAAATCAACAATACTAAGTGAAAATTTCAACTTCATCCCATTACACAAACAAGTGATTATCAGGATTCAGTAGCTAAGTGGATGACGCAATGGTATTTTAAATCAACTGTACTGGGTTTAAGTCTTAGAATGAACATCAATTCTGAGACGTAGTTACATTCAGCTGACGAGTCCCAAGTAGGACGAAGTAGCGTGCGTCCTGGATTCCATTGCTAGCCAACATCTATCTTTGCTTAGAATGCTTGTGAATTAAGGCTATATCGAGGCAATCCACATAGGACGCACATATGTCAGTAAGAGACTGATCAATTACAGTCCTAAACACCAATGGGAAGATTCAAACCGACGAAACCAATTGAATTTAAGAAAACATTTCTTTTTAATTTTTGATTGAGATCATAAAACGATTGATGTTAGAACACCATCTGGAAGCGCTGGACGGCCATTTCGTCCTATTGTGGAACTCCTTAGAAGTCCTCGTCCACGATTCTGCTATGGTGATTCGAACTCAGGGCCTTCATTCTCGCGCGCGAACGTTTAATTTACTAGGCCACTGAGCCGGCATTCAACGGTGTTAATGTCTTACCTCAACCAATCCACGAAATTGCGCAACCACAATAGGACGAAACGGCCGTCAAGGGCTTCTAGATTTTCAATGGTGGTCTAAGATCAATCGTTTTATGATCTCAATCCAGAATTTAATAATCTCCACAACCCCTATACTGATATTTCCTTTTAATTTGTTCTTCATTTAAAAGTCTAAACTAATATAAAAGTCAAAACAGTTGAGTATAAAATCAGTACTGAATATAAATGATAGTTAGTCAGTTTAATAATGTTTTAAAATTTATACGTGCTATACAAATAATTACCTATTATGAATTCAGTAACTAATTGGATAATATGTTAGATTGAATATCAATTTTGAAGATGGTAGATATATATCTTAGATAGGTACTTCTTGAATAAGAACTAATGCATGTCATGAATGATTTCAGTACTAGCCATGTTTTATCTTTTCTATATAAATATATGACTATATAAACAGTTAATTATAAAATTTTATTATTTATTTTAACACATAGATATTGGTACAAGGAGGCACCAAATACATATGCGCCACACAAATCTCATTTGATCTGTGCGAGGGCTATGATACTGCCCGGGTGCCCAAACCGAAGCAGGTGGTTTTCTAAGGGGGCCACACCCGGAGCCTTCGACCTGAAGGTCTGATCCACAAGGCAGTGAAGCATCGTAAGGAGATGCAGTTCCATGGTTACCAGTGACCAACGATTGGTTAATACGCCATTTGTTCCTTCAGGATCCTGGTTTGGAATAAGGTTTTTCCAACTCCCCTAGGTGGACCCTCCGTGTCTACCAACCCGATTAAAGAGCCGGACATTCTCATTTCGTCCTCGGAATTTCGTAAACAACACCCTCGCCACGAGAATGCAATAAGTAGGACTTCCCTTGCAAAGGTTATATACACGTGGCCATGTGAGAGCATTTCGAGAGGGAGAGCGGACTTTCCCCACTCTCGGCCGTACCAGGGCATTTGGGGGCACAGTTAATTTAAAAAAGTCGTTATGTAAGAATAAGAATTAAATCAGGTCAGTATTAAGCAACTAAATAAACATGTTTGTTGCTATTAGTAACATATATATAAAATATGCATAATTATGTGTTGTTTTCGTAATTTTAATTGTTCAGGTATACTTACTGGTGTCTACTATGCTGTTGGTACATTATTAAATAGTATTTTACTAGGATATTTCACAGTGAGTCAGTATTTTTTTATTCAAATTGGTTTTCCATGGTGGTCTAGTTTCAATTGACTTAAGATCTCAACTATTGAAATTACTACAATCTCCATAAAATCCCTTCTGATATTAATCAACATATGCTCACTAGTGACTGGCTTCAAGACGTATATCCTGGAGTTCTCATGAGAAGCCGTGACCAATGGAGTTCAACCACGTCTGTTGTGAGATAGTAACTCACTGAAGACAATGGTGGATGTGTCGCTCAATTTCATGGATTAGTTGAAGTTAGACATAAACACCTTATGGAGGCCGACCGACTCAGTTGTCTAGTGATAGGTTCTGGGTTCGAATCCTACGAGGCAGGGTCGTGGATTCGCGCTACTGAAAAGTTCATAAGAGGACAAAACGACCGTTCAGTGCTTCAAGGTTTTCCATGGTAGTCTAGCTTCAATTAATTCATGATCTCAACTATTGAAATTACTATAATATTCACAAAGCCCCTTCTGATATTATTAAAAATTGATTCACTATTTTTTTTCAAATACATCAGATGTTGGCCAAGAGGGTAAAGGCTTATCATATGAACTAAAGGTCATAGGTTCGATCTCTGATAGAACTGTAAATATGTGTTTATAGGAAGTCTCACATTTGAATGAAACAACTATCCGATTACTTTCTGATTTTTATACGTTATTTAAATAAGATTAGTATGTGATTTGAACTGTGTAGTATTATACTGTATTAACTTATTCTCTTGTATTATTACAAAATATAAACTATTGTCTAGACCTATTAGTCATGGGGATCGTGAATGTGTACTGCTGAGTAGGAGTCCTATACTAGGATGAAACGTCTATCCAGGTTTTCCATGGTGGTGTTTAGCTTCAATTAACTCATGAATTCAATTACTAAATTATTACAATCTCCACGAAACTCCTCTCTGTGAATATTCTCTAAACTTTGAATAGTTTTAATCACATGGTATACAAATGTTTATTATTGTATGTAATAAACATACAGTATATTGTAATGAACAATGATACCATTATTGTACATATAAAACTACCAAATAACCATGTGATCTTTTATGAGTACTGAAATCAATCTAATTAAATGTAAAACTTTCTTGTTTATCTAAATAATTGTCAACTTTTAGTTAGAATAAAGATAATCATTTGAATAGATCATTGTTAACATGAAAGCCAGTAATGATGATAGAATGATATGAGATTGAATAATACAAAGTATCAATTATTCATAAATGTTTAATATATCAACAAGTGTCAACTAATTCGAAGTCTAAATATTTAGTTTCTTATCACCTCAAATTCATTTAACATCCATTTAACATACCTATAATAGTAGGTCACTTAACTAATTTTCACAGATTGAAATCATGAGTCCGTTGAAGCTAGACCACCATTGAAAACCTGGAAGCATTGGACGGCCGTTTCCTCCTAGTATGGGACTCCTCAGCAGTGCGCATCCACGATCCCGTACCACGCGGGGCTCGAACCCAGGACCTACTGGCTTCGCGCGCGAGCACTTAACTAATTGCCTACTTTGTAACGTAAGATCAATAGACTATTTCCAACAGGTTAATTAGTATAGTTGATATTGAATACATGGAATGGTCTTTACATGAATGTTAGTAGTTTTTGTACAATCAGTTACAAGAAGGCATTAGTTAAAATAATATTTTATAGGGTAGAAAGAATATATACTACGGACAAACTGGAATCAGAATTGATGAACGTTGAAAAATGCCTAAGAGACAAATGTTACCCACAAAAATTTATTGACAAATATAAAAAACCTAAAAACAAAAAAAACAAACCGGGAATAGTTATGGTCAATAAAAAAAAATCAATATCTCCAAATCCCAACTTCAAAGGTGATAATGTCGCAAACACAATCATCAGGAGACTGAACATTGTGCTAGCCAGAACTTCTTCGGCAGTCAAACAATTAATTCTCTATAAAACATGTTCAATAACTGAATCAAAGGTTGATAAGCACCCCTTTCATGTTACCGCCAACTGTAATTATAAATTTACGTGTACCTGCTAAGGCAGCTACATTGGCCAAACAGAAAGGAGGGCATATCGTAGATTTTTTGAGCGTATTCCAAAAAGACTCAAAGCAAGAGAAAGAAATACTCTAAACAGTGCAGTTACCAAATATCTCCTTGATACAGGACATCATCTTGCAATTTTTTAAGGTGATTAGTAAACAGCCAAACTCCAGTCTTCTGAAGCCGTTGCTATCAGGCGTCAAAACATGTAACTAAACCTGAGTATTTAAAAAATCTACTCAGATTGCGTAAATATTTTAAAAAAGACTCATAAGGTGAAGTCAATAAAATCAATCATGGAAAATTCAAACATTTACAGTTTTATAGGTAAACTCATCAGTCGATTAAAGCTAAGCCATCATGGAAAACCTAGAAGCACTGAACGGCCGTTTTGTCCTATTGTTGGACTCCTCAGCAGTGTGCATCCACTATCCCGTCTGACAAGATTAGAACCCAATTTGTTTGTGAACTAGAATAAGTTAGGAGAAATTATTAAAACGCTTCTTAATATTAACAATATCTAGAATTGAAGAAATGATCAAATATCAATCATCATAGTTGAGCTCCCTCTAGCTTTCAAATCTTTCTTGTCAAAACTATCACGAGTATTATAGAATATTGATACAAAATAAATCCATTGACTATCTGAATTTCTAATATGTCCATCAAACAAAATTATTGAATTTCATACGTAATTTTTGCTGTAACAGTCCTCATTTGTTTTACTCTTCAGAACAGTTAGTGATAACTACGTTTTCTAACTGAACATTTCTTTAGTCAACCGTATCAATCATCAGAGTATTACATATCCTTGAAGATTAAAAAGAAATGCATTTCAACGTGCAAAACTGTTTCAAGTATTTTCATTACTCAAAAAAATGACATTTGTGATGGTGGAGAAGATTTGTAGCTCAGATAGATGATTTTGTTCTCTGAGCTGGATGGTTTGGTCGTGTAGTGGTTGCTTTGAAAGGTTGGCCACGCAGTTGTTTGTGTTTTTTCATAAGCGGTTTTGAGATCTTGGTTATTTTCTTCTTTGTTCTTTGTGCCGTTTGCATGATATCTCGATGGCTGTTGTCAAGATTTCCAAATGTTCTGACGTGAGTGCTTTTTGTAGCTTCATCTTTTGGTCCTCTATGACATGTTGTTAATGTGCATCTTTTATCATTAGGTGTACCATTTTTCTTCCACTTTCATCAGCTATTCTCCATCCCACTGGGTAGTTGATTTGAGGTCTGTGTCTTACAATTGTTGGTAGAACATGCTGACAATGGCAGTCGTGGAGAAAATACAATTGTTCTCGTGTAGAAGCCTGTCTTGTGGCGAAGTTCTCCCATTTTTGTGTGTCCTATCGACTTCCAGCGCTTCTTCCTGATTTCTTCCTCCACTGGAATCTGTTTTGTTCTCTTCCACAGTAGGTTGTTGCTGATAGTGTCTGGCTAACGGATCCGAAATATTTTGCGTAGACAATTGTTAATAAACACTTGTATCTTCTAGATGATGGCTTTCGTAGTTCTCCAAGTTTCCGCCCCATACAGTAGAACTGCCTTGAAATTTGTATTGAAAATTCTGACCTTGGTGTTGGTTGACAGTTGTTTCGAGTTCCAACTGTTCTTCAGTTGTAGATATGCAGCTCTTGCTTTGCCGATCCGCGTTTTCACATCTGCATCAGATCCACCACGTTCATCAATGATGCTGTCAAAATATGTAAAGGTTTTTACATCCTCCAAAAATTCTCATGGAACTCCTTTGTGGCTACAACCGGTCCCAAGCCTGGATAAGAGGAGGAGGTTGAGCATAGTGTCAACCACTCCATCCCGTAGAAAACTAACCAGCTAAAAATAAACGCTAACCAAATCGGATAATATTAATCACAATTTATCATAACACTCATTGAAACTATTCAAGATTAACTGAGTTTTTTCTTTTCTATTGTATATTTATTATTTATTTGAACACATGAATATTGGTACAAGAAAGCGCCAATATATATGCGCCACACAGCGCCAATATATATTGTATATAGACTGTTGTCATTGAAATTTACCTTGTATTACACTAATCTTTAATATTTTTTGTTTACATTTTATATTATTAATGAAATAAGAATTCTAATCTATCTGGTTGGGCTGGTTTCACAATGATTATTGCCGGTATATTTGGATCAGTAATAACTGGTGTAATTTTAGATAAAACAAAAAAATTTAAGTAAGATAAACAATGATTTATTCTATGTTTATTTTTACTGTTTATTTATATAACAATAATCTATTCATTTTCAATAGTTATTTAAATCATTTCATTGTTATTTTACACTCAGTCAGCTACAACATAGGACCAGGCACATATATGCATCGGTCCAAGTTGCCATACCGCATTAGCACAGCAAGATGAACATCGAATTAATAGAAATAGATACTTCAGTGGTAATAAATTATATAAGAAAGATTGTGTATAAGGGTGTTGTACAAGAAGAATGAATTAGTTCGTAGAAAGAAAGATATGAAGTGATCTTAATCTCACGGATTAGGGGAAGACAGAGAGTGTATACACCTAAGTCATTGTGATCGATTCTAAGCCATGTCACCTAGAGTCTCCAACCGTTGGTTACGATAGTCACACAGATCTCAACCAAGCAGTCTGCATCTACCAACATGGTTCACATTAGAAGTTAGTGACTTCAAGCACTGATGCCACGTCTTGGTTTGACCGCCCCTAAATTCCTTCCAATCACCACCAACTCTAGTCAGTATTGCACGTCGTGGTAAACACTGTTCAGGCATACGTAACACGCGGCTCAACCATCTCAGTCGATGAAAATTCACAACCTCATCAACTGATTTACCAGCATTCTCTAATATCATGCATCTAACCTCAATATTACTTACCCGATGATCTCAGCAGACGCCAGCAATATTTCTAAGGCATCTGCGATCAAATACCAGTAACTTATGAGTATATTCTACTCTTAATAGCCACGTTTCTCAGCCGTATAGTGTTTGAATATTTCAAATTTTTATTTTTATTTCTTAACTACATCCCACATATTCCGTTCATTTTTTTCTCACAATCACTAATTATGTTCTTATTTCGATTCTATTTACTATTCAGTTTGATAACTATGCCAATTTTGGATTAATAAACATTTATTTATATCAATAGTTGATATCATGAGTCAATTGAAGCAAGACCACCATGGAAAACCTGGAAGCACTGGACGGCCAATTTGTCCTATTGCCGGCTCAGTGGTCTGTCTAGTGGTTAAGCGCTCGCGCGCGAGACTGGTAGGTCCCGGGTTCGAATTCCGAGAGACGGGTCGTGGATGCGCACTGCTGAGGAGTCCCATAATAGAACGAAACGGCCGTCCAGTGCTTCCAGGTTACCCATAGTGGTCTAGCTTCAATTCAATCACGATCTCAACTATTGAAATTTATTTATTTATTTAACGTGTTATTACTGAATTATAACTAACTAACTAACTAACTGAATAACCTTCAACTTCACTGAACTTTCTGCATAGAAACATGAAACAACTAGTTACTTATCGTTGTCAAATTTTATGCAAATCTTATTCATAATCTGGTTAAGTGAAAAGAAAAGAAAGTTATTTGGTGTATTTTACTTAGATCAACGTTAAACTTGTCTAGATCGAAAGAAAAAAATTGACCTGTGTTTTTTTAAAAGTTATGTCAGTTGACACATCAAAAATAGTTATGATTGAACGTGATTTAAGTAGTATAAATATTATTTCTTTTATGTCATTGTGTTATGTAATATATACAAAACAGCAATGTTGCTTATGATGGAATGTGTTAGCTGTTTGAAAATAGTCGACAGAAAAACCTGGAACTGAGTTTCTAATTACTTAACACATATCAAATAGGTGTCGCCGTAGTCTTGAGATAACTAAATCTTTTTGTTGCATTTAAATCGCTTCATAGTTTGTCTGGTGTCCACCGATCTTCTAAGAGCAGTGTACTTGTTATCAAGTCACTTAGACTAATATTCAGATTACAACTTTATCGACAAAATTTAATCAACTCTACATATTAGACAAACATAACGTAGATCATTACACATTGACCAAATAGTGTAAATATTTCAGTGCTACTGGATTCCAGCGGTAGTTTAAACAGCTCATCGATAACATAATAAACTGTGAAGTAAAGTCATTTGATCAATGACATTTATTAGAGAGAAGATATTTCATTATCAAGTACAATGTATAATTGGTATTGTTGATTAAGTGGATCCATTTTAACGTATCTCAGATAATCCTAAAGGACTAGTGACGTTTTTAAAAACAATTGAAAATTTCCTTTATTATTAGAGACATCAAAGTATGAATAATAAGTTTTAATGACACAATGCACATAGTTGAAGTAAGATGAAGTTTACTATTTGCCTATGGTAATATAATCTATATCTGTATGATCAGACGTACAATCGGTTTCTTGTAATTGACTTCATATAGATATAAGTTTTCATACATTTATCTGTTTCGGTTTGGGCACCCGGGCAAGTATCACAGCACTCACACATATCGAATGAGATTTGTGTGGCGCATATGTATTTGGTGCATCCTTGTACCAATATCTATGTGTTAAAATAAATAAATAAACATTTATCTTATGTTCAATATTACAACAACAATGATATTACATTTTTCTATAAAATATAATATTTATAATGCAATGAAATGTCTCTTCATTATTATTAGTATACGGTTGTAGAGATTATTAAGTTTTTCACTGAGATCATAAAGCGATTGATGTTAGATCACCATTGAAAAACTGGAAGCACTGGACGGCCGTTTCAGTTTCAGTCAAAAGCCTAATGACCTCCACAACCCTATACTGATTACTATGTGCTCACTAGTGACAAGTTTAACATTGATCTAAGTAAAATACACCAAATAGCTTTCTTTTCTTTTCTTTTCACTTAACCAGATTATGAATAAGATTCGCATAAGATTCAACAACGTTAAGTAACTAGTTGTTTTATGTTTCTATGCGGAAAGTTCAGTGAAGTTGAAGGTTATTCAGTTAGTTAGTTATTTATCATTCAGTAGCTAGACCACCATAGGAAACCTGGAAGCACTGAACGGCCGTTTTGTTCTATTATTGGACTCCTCTGTGGTAGTGCGCATCGACGACCCCACCCCCTGCGAGATTCCAACTCAGGACCTATCAGTCTCGCACACGAGCGTTTAACCACTAGACCAGTGAGCTGGCAATAGGACAAATTGGCTGTCCAGTGCTTCCAAGTTTTCCATGGTGGTCTAGCTTCAACTGAATCATAATCTCAACTATTAAGAATTACTATACTATTCACAAGCCCCCCCCCTCACTGATATCTTGTTATGTTGTTTTCTTTTTATAGATGAAATCATTCTATTTCTTGAGAAAAAAAGTTTTTTTTCTGGTTTTTAGTTTTGATTGATTGTAGAAAAACATTTTTTTTGTTTGTTTAAAGTAAATGTGTTCAAGTATATTCTGTATCTAAGATGTAATCACATTCATTTATGCAATATATTATCAATTAACACTAAGTGAGAGAATTATGAACGATGAGAATAAGTAATGAAAGGTCTTCTTTGAAAGCTAATTGATGTGAAAACATTAACTCATTAACTATATGATAATGAAAATAATAATACTACATATATCTTAAATGTCATAATAAGTAATGATATAGATAGAAATAACTGTATGAGATAATATAATGAAAAAGACATAGATAATCTGATATGGGAGAGTTAATCATCAGAGGTAAACTATGATAAGAAAGTCAATTAATGACAATCATAAGTGATCTAAAAAACAAGTGTACTTTATTCATTATGAAATAGACTAATTTCCTAAAGATTAGAGTATCATATTTGTTATATCTTGATGAAAATAATGTATGATAACTGTTGGAGTCTATTTCTGGACTAATACTGTACATATATATTTATTGTATAAAGTGTTAAATAACTAAACGGTTAATATTTATGTTCCTCTTATTATGAGGTTTATTTTGACCTATGAACTATTATTATACGATTAACCATTCTTGAGTTATGCCCAGTCTGTCAATTCCAGTCTCCACACATTCACAGCCACTTTTGAAATATAATGATTCATATTGCAGAGGCTGAGATTAGTATTCTGAACTCAACAGGCAGGCAGGGCTAGAGAGGGAAAAGGATCAATAAGGACTATAAACTGCTCATATGGGTTTTATTTGTCATTAGTTCAGTCGATAATTCACTGTTCCCGAATTGGCGTTATCATTACGTCATATATTATTAGGACAGAGGGTTCAAGTTATAACACATATATATATGAATAAGTATTTGTACATTTTCATTCGATAATCTAATACACTTTTTTTGATTACTCTTGTGTTCTCACTCAAATAGTCACTACGAAGGACTTTGAGGGGGAAGGGTTAACACATAGTACACCGTGTATCATTAACACATTTATGACAATGTCCATCACAACATACTAAATTGTTATCTATCCAATAATTATTAATTATCATTTTGATAAATTCAAAGAAATTATCCAAATAATTCATCCATGAGAAATCTATCTTACATCTAACATAATTGACAATTAACTACACTTTTATACTTGCTCAGTTGTTCAATGATTTGATCTTGATGAAAGAGAAAAATGTGGTATACACATAATCAGTCATTAATCTAAACTAATTATTGATTTTTTTTATTATTTGGTTTCATTTAGATTAATCACATGCATTATATATATACTAAGTTTATTGTTTATGGGAATCTTTACTGGAATATTATATTTTCGTTCAATGCCAATAGTCTTTATCATTATGTTCTGTTTAGGGTAAGTTATCATTTCTTATATATATATATGCAGTATGATCTTAACTAATGATAAAATGAATGTTTAAATGAATTCAATTGTGATTAAATGTGAAGCTGATGCAGTGTAAGAAAGATTTATGACAGTTGACTAAAGAAGAGAATAAGAAGATAGATTGAAATATTGTTTAGTTGAATAGTATTTCATTTGTTTTAAGCCTTTAAATGCCCTAGTATGGTTGACAGTGGAGTGAGACAACTCGCTCGCTCGCTCTATCGAAATGCTCTCACATGGCTACATCCATACAACCACTGACAGAGAAGTGCTACTCATTGCCTTCTCTGATCGACGGTGTTTTTTTACAAAATTGAGGGAACGAAAAACGGATGTCTGGTGCTTTCATCGGGTTAGTAGACATGTAGAGTTTACCTAGGGGAGTTGGAAAACCCTGATTACAAACCAATGTTGAAGATTGGCTCTAGGATCCTGAAGGAACAAATGGCGTATGAACCTATTATTGGTCACTGGTAACCATGGAACTGCATCATGTGACATTGCTCCACTGCCTTGTGAATTAGACCTTTCGGTCACAGGCTCAGGGTATGGTCCCATAAGAAAACCACCTCCTTCAGTTTGGGCACCTGGGCAGTATTCTAGCCCTCACACAAATTGAATGATTTATGTGGCTCAAATCTATTTGGTGCCACTTTGTACCAATGTTTATATGTTTAAATAAATAATAGTTTACACTTACTATAACCTTGAAAAGTGAAATACAAATTTAAAAATAACTAAATGATAGAAGGTAAAATCTAGTGGACGATTTCCAAATAGAGTCAGTCAGTCAGTAACAACGTAGAACTTCGTACGTATGTACATCAGTTCGAGTTGCCACACCACATTAGCACAGAGATGCAGTTGTCGATTCAAATCCCGTAGTGGTAGAGGTAGCAAGAGTATAAGCAGTAATCGGGAAGATTAGGGTTTGGAGATGTTATTTAAAGAGTATAATCCAGTGAAATAAATTTGGAAAGAGGAAAAAACGGACATGAAGGATTCAGAAGATTAGAATTTGGGAGAACACAGAGAGTGGATGCACCCGCGCCATTGCAAACGATTTTGAGCCATGTCATTCAGGGTCTCTAACCATCGGTTGCTATCATCTCGCGGTCCCCAACCAGGTAGTCCACACCTACCAACATGACTCAGTTCACTTGTCAGTGACTTCATGGACTTGTGCCATGTTTTGGTTTGGATTTCCAAATAGAACCGAAACATATGTCCTAAATTCCACAGATAACTACATATCAAATATGCTAATGCTACTATAGATGTGCTTAATTGAATTAATCCTTCCAAAATACAAGGTAATCAAAAAAGTCATAATATTTCATATACATAGTTCCCTTTATTAATTTAAAGAGAGCACGAATGAAGATTGTTACAGAATAATATGAATTCATTTTATTTCGTTAGGTTCTTACCAGTTGATTAAAGATGAAAATATATGTATCGTGACGAGGTCGTTGCCTTATTAATTCCATAGCGAACAAAAACACGAGTGGGGTAATCGAAATTACAGAACATCATCTCATTAAACTCGAAGAACTGTAGAGTAAATACTTAATTTGCAAAATCTCAATCAATTGTCTCAAACTTGACTATTTCTTTACAAATATCAGTCCATCGTCTTAGATTTCATTGTTTCTGCATTTTCATATCAATTGCTTTCTGTTCCCATTCTTGCCTCCATGATCTATTGAAATATATTCTGTTCCTGACTATCGTTATATACTACTTATGTGGATATAAGTAGTTCACACCACAACTGCATCAATCTCCGTTATGTTCTCTTAAATTTATCATACTCAAACTTGTATAATTAGTTTGTTGGTTCGACAATCAAAACGAATTCTACCCTTCAAAATATTTCACTTCTTTTGGGTGTATAAATATCGAATGTTAATATCTTAATATCTTTAATTGCTAAGAACTAGTCATTTAGTTAAAGCCAATACATTTTCAGCTACCCCTAAAGTATGAAATTAAAGATATGGAGTGTAAATTAAATTTACTAGAGAGACAAAACTTTGCATACCATTCACAATAGTAGTAACTCTGTGTTCTACTTTAGAATAAACTAGAAAATAAATTAATTGAAACAGTTAATTGTTTTCTGATCCTAACAGATCTATATATGCTCCAGATACGATACCTACTCTACTTAAACCTAACTAACTGAGTTCTTATGCGTTATGTAGGATATTTCAATAAATATCTCATATTATTTGTAGAAAAACTAAACATGTATAATACATATCATATTCACTGATAAAGTTTACATTTGCAGACAGTATTTCACTTCAATTAGATATTTCGAAACTATTTGATTAAATTGTATAAATTCATGAATCAATTAAAGCTAGGTCACCATGGAAAACCTGAAAACACTGGACGGTTATTTTGTCCTAGAATGGGATTGGTTGAAGTTAGACATTCATACCGTTGAATGCCAACTTAATGGTTTTGAGGTTAAGTGTTTTCACACGAAACCGAAGTTCCTGTATTTGAGTCCCATATGCGGAATCATGGACGCGAACGCCAGAGGAATCCCATACTAGGATTAAACGACCGTTCAGTGCTTCAAGGTATTCAATGATGGTCTAACTTAGATCGACTCGTGAATTGAACTTCAAAAATTGGCTTTTCATTATAAACTATCAAGAACCAAATATTGACAAATATTTCAATAGAAGTTCCTCAGTAATTCAATACAATTGTTTCAGTAATAAATATATAAAAAGTAGTTGAATCTACTAACGCCTAGTTAACATTATTCACTGAACACCTAGTACTGTTCACATCTAACATCAAACCTTCAAGAAAATACACTGAAATATAGGCAGTTACACGTTACAGTATGAATACAGTTCAATTATCTAAATCTTTAACTGATATATTCAATAATTGTTCTCTTTGATTGAAGAAACAAAAGAAAAAAACATCTAAATGAATTGAAGTAGAACAAACAAGATCGGATCATAAAACAATATGAAAGTTGATCCCATTTTTATCGATCAAATTATGTAATAATGAGACTGAAGATATCAATTTTATTTCCTACCTTTAATGTAGTGTGTGTGTGATTGAAGCCCAATTATTAAAAATATCTTTAGACCTAGCTATAATATTAGTTAAGACATGCCACGCTAACAGTCTTGAACAAACCGTGTTACCCTTTTTGTAATCCTATATCTGACTCCAATTAGATCATATGAATGTTATTGAAGTATACATGTTGCCTATCCTTGTATATAATCATCGATTTAACTCTCGTTAGTGTATAACAGAATTTCGAATATGTATATTTTGTACACTCAATGATCTGAACAGGCAATCAGGGAGACAAAGCGAAGAGAAATGACGCGATTTTATGAGCGATTCGAAGTATCGTGAAAACAGGGTATTATATCGTTTATGGGTATGATAGTGGAATAAGTTATGAAAATAAGTAGAGTAGATTATAACAAAAATTGGTCTGTGATGCTGACAGAATATAAGATCAAGAGTAGTGAATATGAACATGTTGTAATAAGCCGTAGTAGAGTAAATAGAGTCGATTAGCGATGAGTGGATTAGAATTTACACACATGGAGTTTCTGTTCGTAGAATAAGATGTACACACACATACGCTCATATAAAAACAGTCAAGGTTGATAAGTGAATAATTAACAAGATCAAAACATGACTCAAGATGAATGGATAAAATGGCCTGTTCAGAAGCTAGAATAAGTTATATAGGCTTAGCATAGTAACTGACACTACAACCTGCACGATACTGAATAATAATCTTTGCAATCAGATAGGGAGTACCTTCTTTCAATATTGCAATTAGACGTTAATTACAACTAGCTCCGACTAGCAAGAAACGTAAGTTTAGGCTTTCTTGCTGATTACTTCAAATCATCACTAATGAGCTTCATTACTTCTTACTAAGAAATATGACATTGATAAATGATAGTAAATATTATAGTATCCTAGAAAACTGTTATTAAAAAAGAAAACATGTACAGAAGGCAGTGTACATGTACAACGCGTTATTTACAATACTGTAATGAATTTGTTATTTACACCCAATGTTCTCACATTAAATTGTTGAGTTTGTAGTTCCTAAATAAATGCCGGCTCAGTGATCTAGTGGTTAAGCGCCCGCGCGCGAGACTGTTATGTCTTGGGTTCAAATCTCGCGAGACGAGATCGCTCATGCGCACTGTTGAGGAGTTCCACAATAGGACGAAACGGCCGTCCAGTGCTTCCAGGTTTTCCGTGGTGTTCTAGCTTCAATTGGCTCACGACCATTGAAATTACTGTCATATCCACAAAAACCCTGTTTGGTTGATATATAGACCCAGTATGTCTGAAATAAATGAATCGCATAGTGGAAGCTGTATTATTGCTCTGAACTCAACTAGACGGGCTAGTCGAGCAAAAGACCAATAGGACACTAGACTGCTCATACCGGTCGAACGTCATTTGTTTAGTACAGTACAAAAGTGAATCATTCGTATTTTTTGATTGGCGAATAAATTACATGACAACTAGCGACCATAAAGTTACGACATCTTACTTGAACAAAACAATTATTCAGTAGTATATAAATCTTAATCATACCATCTTAATTTTGTCTATTCTATAAAGTTCTTTGTTTATTCATTTATCTGTGATAACTTCACTTTGTTTTTTAATAAATTTCTCTTACTACTTATTTCAGTTTCTTTATGACCGGTTATTTAAGTATTGGTTTTGAATTAGCCGCTGAATTAACTTATCCAGAAAGTGAAGGTTTATCTTCTGGTCTGTTGAATACATCAGCACAGGTAAATATTATTATATTAAATATATTGATATATGAAGAATATAAATATATATTAATCAGTGAATAATGAACAATATACTGTAAGGTATGCTACTTATGTCGATATAAGTAGTATATAACATCAGTCAGAAGTGGAATGCTTGGGAGCAAAAGATTGGGAAGATTGAATCATAGAGAACGGGAACATAAAGACTAATTGTTGTGACAATAATGGAACGATAATGTTTAAGACAATTGATGGAGGATTTTCAAAAGAAGAATTGAACGTATGGTTTTTACATTTTACCATAGAACTTTATAATTTAGGATTAAAATACAATTGGTTGTCTCTACTTGTGTCCCCTTTCATAACAATAGCAATAATATATATATATATATATATATATATATATATATATATATATATATATATATATGCTAATCCCAGTTGTTGCAGTTCATCTCAACGCGACCACAGAAAGAAATCGTCAGTTTATGAAAGTAAGTAAGTGATCTGACATTGAAAGGAAAAGAATCAACAATAACAATTGATCATATTTAAGATCAGCAGAATAAATTGTTTAGTTTGTGGAGAAATTTGAATAGTTCACTTCTATCTGAAGTTTTTTTCTGATGATGATGATGTTGTTCTCCAGAAAGACAATATAAGTTTCCTAATTAAACTATTGAGCTCAGGCCCCCAAATGCCCTGGTATGGCCGAGAGTGGGTGGGCCCTCCCTCCCTCTCGAAATGCTCTCACAAGGCCACGCGTATACAGCCTCTTCCAGGGAAGTCCTACTCACTTCCTTCTCGTAGCGGGTGTTGTTTACGAAACTGAGAGAACGAAAAGCGAATGTCCGGCGCTTTAACCGGATTCCAAACCAATGGTGTACATGGGCTCCAGTATCCTGCGGGAAGAAATGGCGTATGAACCACTCGTTGGTCACCGGCTACCATGGTAATGCATCTCCTCACGATGCTCCACTGCCTTGTGAATCAGACATTTAGGTCAAAGGCTCGGGGTGTGGCATCCTAAAGAAACCACTTGCTTCGGTCTGAGCACCCGGGCAGTCTCACAGACCACACACACACAAATATGGTGTGGCGCATATATATTTGGTGCCCTCCCTTACCAATATTTGTGTGTTGAAATAAGTAATAATAATAAATTGAGCTCAGAGGATGAAATTTCAAAAATAAAAAGATCCTCAGTAGTTGAAACTATTCTTAATCATCTCAAATATAATTTAAAAGAAATGAGCTCCCAAGCTCGAGTTATGACACACAAGATTTACAGCTGAAGAATAAGTTTATCCGTATACAGAATAAGTCAGTGGGACTGTTAATGGCCTCATAGACTGACATTCTGTACAAATCGTCATAAACAATAACTAAATATATGTCAATCGTTTCATAATCTTCTCAAGTGATAACGTTTCTCTACATACTCGAAAGACTGAATTCTAAGGAAACATAATCATTTAAAGATATAGTCTCTTGTAACTAAAATCTAGTTATCTCTACAGGTCAATTACACCTCATTATGTGTCATATTTTACCATGATGATGAAATATATCAATGTATTTTTCAATATTTTTTGACAGTGTAAATAGTTGGTAAGTGGTTTGATGCATTAAGTGTTTAATAACTGAATAGGAAATTCGAATACTGTCTACTTCTTTACTTGTATAAAAAATTCTTGTAGCTATCTATGTTGTTCACAATACATACATATGAAATCAAATACATTTTACTTAGTAGAAAATATATAATAAGATTTCGATAAATATCCCATGACTAACAAAATTGCCTGTTATTGTAAATATAGTCTAATTGTATTCCAGAGTTTATTACGTAATCATTCCTATATAAATATTCTGTTTGTGTATTGTTTTCTTTCTCTCATAAACATAACGTCAGATATTTGGCCTTATACTGATTCATGTTGCAACACCATTGAGAACAAATTATGGAGTTTTGCCTGGAAATTTATTCCTTACAGGATTAACACTAATTGGAACAATAATGACAGGTATGTTCGTATAGGCGAATATGTAAAAATGCATTAATATTAGATCAGAACACCTAGGGAACAGTTATTTCATGTGTCACTTGATTTCGTGAATTACTTGAAGTTAGACATTGACATCATTGGATGCCGGCTTAGTGGTCTACAGGTTAAGAGTTCATGCGCGAGACTGATAGATCTTGCGTCCGAATCTTACGAGGCGGGATCGTGGATGAGCACTGTTGAGAAGTCCCACAATAAGACGAAACGGCCGTCCAGTGCTTTCACGTTTTCTATGGTGTTCTAGCTTCAATTGACTCAAGATCCCAACTGTTGGAGTTATTTCATTGTTAATCAGTTTTGTTAACAAACAAATATCAATCAATCGGTCACAATCAATATAGTAATTGTGTACATGCAAACATAGACTACGGTTATAACTTAATATTGTTAACACAATACAATGGGATTATCGGAATGAATAATGAAGAGAATTACAATAACAACAAAATCATTAATGGATAATAGTCAGAATGGGAAAATAAATATTATGTAAAATTGTCAAAACTCAACATCTAGATGATGAAGGCTGAACACATTAACGGTGATCAAAGATTTATCACAATTACAGTACTATTCCCAACTAGACAGTCTCTACATTACCAATATGGCCTATACTAATAGTCGGTAACTCCATGGATTGATCATATAATTGGCGGTGTCGGGAATTTGATACCGATACACGTGCTACACCCTAATCCCCCATCTGACTACTTGAGCAAGAAACAATAGTGGACGAGAAAGTATATTGGGCTACCGAATAAAATACACAATGAAATGGACTTGCCCTTTAGGTCGCTTTCGATTGCCATCTATTGAGCATCCTATTTGCCTACGTCTGATAGGCTTACCATATTACCTTTCCCTCCTGAAAAATAAGTCCTGCTCCTTGAATTTAACTGAAGACATTGAGGGGAACGTTGTCTTTCTGATGATTTTCTTGGAGTCTGGCCATCACTTCTGCTCTGATCGTGTCGTTTTAGACTGTCTGAATCAATAAAATGATCCAATGCCCAGTTCGAGCTAAAGGGTTACTTATCCGAATTTAATCGTCTGTCGCGGATGTGGTTCACAAGTCGTGTCAGACATTTACCTCGAACATCAATTTTGAACATCAAGTCACCGACTCCTCTTACGATAACACTCGCTACCCCCTCAAGCCCCTATATCAAGTCCCCATCACTTTTTTTCAACCTATTCCTTTCACCAGTCAATAATGCACTACAAATCTAGCGATGCCTAGCGACACAATATACTCATTATGTATTCTGTTTAGTTAGACTGTTGAAATAGAAATAATATGAGATCGTAAATTTGAAGCTGATACAGTAGGGTATTTTGATTAAAAGAAATCTTTCAAATTACATAAGCTGATACATGTGAAGACCAATTACGAATTTAGAAGTGTATGCAGTATGTATGAGGAGAGAGAAAACAATGATTTACCATCTTCAATTTATATATAAATTAGGTAGATGAGTATAACAACTATTACATATTTCGTCCTTAACCTAAACACTGTAAGCTAAAGGGTTTCTTCAAGTATTAGTTACCTGTTTAAGATATTGATCAATTTGTGAGCAGTGACCAATATCATGTTTGTCTAGTCATTTAGTGATAATCAAATTCTGTAGATCTGTAGTTCTAATGTAGTCAGTCGAAAAAGTGGCTTAATATCTCATACATTGCGTTTTGATGTTCTGTTGTTAAGATCTGGTCAACAGGAGGACTGTGGACCCTATGATTCATGCTAGTTGACACCTGTCAGTAAAGTATACGCACTATCCCTAAGGAACCGATACTTCTCATGAGATTCTAGCCTTTGACACCTATTTTCATAGTCCGTGATATTATCAATGAACTGTTTAGGCCTCAAATGGCCTCCTGTAGTACTTCAATAAATTTCTGTCGATTAATTACTAAATAGTGAAGAATTTCTTGTTTGTCTAGCCTTTAATGTTGGTCACTTTTCTTTAGAATTGATCTGGCAATAAGAAGTAACCGATAGAAATAAACCAACGGAATTTCGCTATTAGATCCATTACACAATATGACATCAACACTCTACATCTGATGAAATAGTATTGTTATCAATAATTAGTCATTGAGATATTTATTCTAGCTATAACTACATTCAACATAACATACTCTTGAATGTTTTGTTTGAATGAATTATAATTTCAACCAACTATTGTGTCAAAATATTTACTATTATTTGTGATTACTTGATGAATACCATGAATTATCTGGATTTTATTTCGTAGATCAATGTACCCAGTGTATATGTCATTAAAACTGGATTCGGAGGCTTCACAGTGTCACACAATCTCAGAATATTCTTAAAACTGACCGGTTTAGAATGAGATTTCTCAATTTCTTGACAAAAATTAGTAACGAATTTGGATGAATCTTAGATTAACAATCTGAATACTGTCTGTAATACTGATAAACATAATCCAACGTTCTGTGTAGAATAAACGGATTGTGGTTAGTAGTAAACTGTAGGACATATGTGTTCTCATATTAGAACCGCATCTCCTGAACCCCAGAACTCAACAATTTGGGTATCTAGCTTTAAATATTTCCGGATATTACTCACTTTTGCTCACTGTTGATTATTTTAAGAGGTTATCTCCAGTGAGAAGCTATGACCATTGATATTTGAAAGTTAGACAAATATCGTTAATGGCAATGAATGATGTTTATGTAGCTTCTTAAATTGACTGGGTTTGAAAAGTTAATCAGTTAACTTTCAACTCAGTAATTCTCCTGTCAAATTCTTATCAATGAAACCTGAGGATTCTGTATTTAATTCCTGACGGGGTTGTAAATGCTTATTTCTTTCGAGTCGCATAGAGCCTCGAAACATCTCTCCAGAGATTCTTGGCTTCCAGTGGTATTTAAACAATCTCCATTATTAAGAATGAAACAAATATATAATTAAATGTATATAATATGTAATTATATATATATATCGTTTAATTAATAATTAATGAATAAACTAATCTTCTCAGTCAGTCAGTAACAACGTGGAACTTCGTACGTACGTACATCAGTTCGAGTTGCCACACCACATTAGCACAGAGATGCAGTGGTCGATTCAAATCCCGTAATGATAGATGTAGTAAAATTATAAGCTGTAATCAGTATGATAGTTCCATTCCATTACACTAAGCAGTAGACAGTAATTTATTGCACAATTATAGTAATACAGCTATACCAGTATTAATAATTTCTAGCTATCCTCTCTTTATGTAATTGATTACAGAAATGATAAATGTTTATGTAACTAAGATTTGTTTTTTTCTTCGTATGATCTCTAATTAATTTTTACATTTATATATAACACATTCTTGCATTCTTTTATCACATGCTTATTGATTCTATCTTTCATGACTTTATATTTTACAGTATTAATTAAAGAGAATCTTTATCGTCAACAAGCACATGAACGTGTAAGTTCATTGAAATATGTTTCTTTTTTTGTCTATGTAATAACTTACTATGATTTGTTTATTTTATCAATAATCTTCATGACTAGTTTAGATATTACTGGTTATTAAAATATACTTGAATTCATCAGTTGATCTAAATTAGACCATCATTAAAAACTTGAGAGTATTGAATGACCATTTCGTCCTAGTATGGTTGGTAGGTGTAAACTACCTGATTGGGATCCGTCATATGATAGCAACCGATGGTTAGAGACCCTGAATGACATGACTCAAAATCGTTTGCATCCACTCTTTGTGTTCTCCCAAATTCTAATCTCCTGAATCCTCCTTGTCTCGTTTTATATCTCTTTCCAAATTCATTTCACTGGATTATGCTCGTTGAATAACATCTTCAAACCCTCATCTTTCCGATTACTGCCAATACTCTTATCGCCTCTACTACTACGGGATTTGAATCGACAACTGCATCTCTGTGCTAATGTGGTGTGGCAACTAGAACTGATGTACGTACGTACAAAGTTCTACGTTGTTACTGACTGACTGACCTAGTATGGAACTCTTCAACAGTATGCATCTACAATCCTTGGGTTCAAGTTCCGTGCGCTAAGATCTATCTTAGATTGACTCATAAATTCAACTATCAAAATTATTACAATCTACACAAATCCCCATTCCGATAATAAAATACGCATCTTACTTAGATAAGTAATCAACAGTTAGATAATAATTTCAATGGTTGAGATCATGAGGCAGTTGAAGCTAGACCACCATGGAAAACCTGGAAGCACTGAACGGCCGTTTTGTCCTAATGTGGGACTTCTCAGCAGTACACATTGAACTCTGGACCTAACAGTCTCTCGCGCGAGTGCTTACCCACTAAACCACTGAGCCAGCATCCAACGGTGTTAATGTCTAACTTCAACTAATCAACGAAATTGAACGATAATGATAATGATTCAGAAATTTCATTAGAACCCTTGCAACTTGTGTTAGTTGTGGAGTAGACGATATTTTCATTTGTTAACAAGCGGTGTCAATGTACAGCTTAGCAGTCATCTTTGTATTTCTCAGTGGTTATGAAATATGATCGATCAAAGTAAAATATTTATGTAAGCGCCAAGTTCCTGATCATAGATTTTTTCACGATAGTGCTTTGACATGGTGGAACAACCGGGTGAGTATCATGAAACCATACGAAATTGGCTGATTTGATAGTGAATGCATATTGACTGAGATGGTTGGGACACGTAAAACGTATACTTAACCAAAACTTACTTCGGCGCCTTATGTTAACTAGTGTAAAAGTACAATGTAAGAAAATTAGGAGCGGTTAAACCACGGAGTTGTATCAATACATGAAGTTATTAACTGTTGGTAGATGTAGATTAACTGGTTGGTGTTGGGATGGTAACCATAATCCGTGGTTAGAGTAGTTGCGTGACGTGGTGCAGAGTTAGTCTCGCCGTTACGAATGAATCCGCTCCATACATATCTTTCTCTATAAATTCAGTCCTAGTATTCTGTCAGAAATACTATTTCATCATGTCTTCTTGAATCATATTTTAAATATTTAATCATTCTCACATTTATTTATATAAATGCAAACTGTCACAGAAACATTAAGTGAGATAGTTATACAATAAACTTATTGGCTGTTTCATCATAATAGAAGGACTCTTAAACGATAAGCATATTGATGCAGTTCAAACTTCATTTATTGCATGTTAAGTTAGTAGTTTCGAAGGTTAAGTGATGGAAGGAATTCCCCGGGTGAGTACTGTTATATCCGGTGAAGATTAAACTACAGGTAAATTCCAAGGACTATTCATGGACTAATATTCTATAAATATTCTTATTGTATAACTACTCAACAATTACACTATGGATATTTATATTCCTTTTATGATAAGCTTTATTTTGACCTATAATTTATTATTGTACGATTTACGGTTCTTAAGTTATGTTCAGTTTATTAATTACTGCCTCCCACATTCACAGCCACTCTTTGGGCTTATTTGTGTACAATATTATTTCCTATTTTATGGTACGTTGCGGTCTGTGTGATTGATATATAAACCAAGTATGCCTGAAATAAACGATCTGCTCTGATTCGGAAGCTGGTATTTTGTTCTGGACTCAAGTGGAAGGGCTCGTAGGACATAGGACCAATAAGGACGCTAAACTGCCCACACCGGTTGAACGTCATTGGTTGGCCTAGTGTGAAGATTCGTATAAGTCGTATCCGATTGGTAGGTAAATCGCGTGATAGAAAAATCAGACATCCAAGGTCATAACAAGTACCATCTAAACATTAAAACATTCTTCACAAAACTTCATTTAATCTATGAATATTCCTACTTGGTAAGGTTGACAGATAAATCACTAAAATGTTAATAGAAATACTTTTCATCTTGTTATATTCGTTAGTATTTAAGCTGTAACTGAGAAAAAGAAGAATTACACAAGTTGATGACCAACTGTTTGATAGAAAAAAGAAACCCTAATAGTCTAATATGAATTAAATTGTTCAATCGGATACTGGATTGTTTGTTAATGATTACTTCTTTCCTTTCCTAAACACTGGGGGGGAAGGGGGAAAGGTATTCATATTACAGAAGGCTAAAATACTTCACATGTAGACAATTTTCAATTACATTAAAGTGTAATATTGATTTTAACACTTTAGAAGAAGGCTGAAACACAAAATGTTCCCGGTAGGTGTGTGCTTTATTTTCTCTTCATCTTAGCTATAATATTTACATTACACTTTGTAAACGCTTTATAGATCTTGTGTGCTCTGTTATCATCTTCACTTCTAATTATTTCCCATCTACTAAATGTATTTATTTTGTGTGTGTATGTGTGTGCATGTATGAAAGTGTTTCTTGTATTCATCATTTTATACAGAACGAAAATGACATTTTCATAATAAGTTGGATTCATTATTTTCTATTTCAAAGCTTCTTATCGACTCTAAACAGACTAAAATTACAATTATCACTATGGGTTTGTGGAGATTATTAAGTTTTTTTTTTAATTATTGTAATCATGAATCAGTTGATGTTAGACCATCATTGAGAATCTGAAAACACTGGATTATCATTTCGTCCTATTGTGGAACTTCTCAACAGTGTGTATCCACCATCTCACTCACGGTGTTCGAACCTAGGGCCTTCGATCTCGAAAATCATACAAAACATAGTTAAGTATGATGTCTACAAAGATATTGAAAATTATTGAAGAAGATTAAAGGAAATCAGTATAAGATTGTGGAGAGTGTTGAATTTTACTCTAATCACAAAACGATTAAATTTTGACGAATTAAAAATCTGGAAGCATTAGAATACTGTTTTTTTTTTGTTCTAGTATGGAACTCCACAACAATACTCACCCACGACATTAGAAGAATAATGGGTTACATAGTTGTAATGAAAACTGAGTGATTGCATAATTATTCAAAATAGTTAGAATGATAGTAAACTATTATGTGAATAGCAACTACATAAGAGACAAAGAAAGTTAAATGATCATGGTCATTATGGTAATGAAAAGCTTATCACAATTACTTTTTATACATATGCAGCAGGTTGAATGCGTTTGTTAACAATCAGAATTAGCAACAGACTAAGACTAATGTTAATTGTCTGTTAATGTATTCCATAAACTATCTATATCCATTATTCATCAGATGGGTCCATCCAATGTATGGCAATTGGAATGATGAAAAATTTACTTACAAAGATAAGTTCTTAATAATTGATTCAGATCACTTGAGACAGACCCTTTTCTTTGTTTTTCCAATATACTTAGTACATCAAATATATGTTAATTCATAGATACAACTGTAGGTAACAGCGGACGTGTATCGATCTACATTTGAATGTTATGACGAACATTCGACGTAATATAATGAAAGCAATAGAACCACAGAGCTATGTTTCATCTTATATTTCATATTCTATTCTTCTTATGTATAATGCTTGGTTCCATTTCCAACATTTATCTATCTCAACTTCACTAACTAAAATAGGTTCAACTTCTATTTATAGCTAATATGAATACTCCTCCCTGTAGTTTTAGATGGCAAGATTATAATTTGTGGACGGATCAATCAGGTATAAGATAACAGGTCTCGAATTTTGGCACGAAATTCATTCATCCATTTACCTAAATAGAGTTTTGGCATTATAGCAGATGTCAGTTCGTGATGAAAACCCTAAATCTAATTCCTAACCCCTAACCATAAATTGTAAATCATAATTCGAATTCCTCACATTGGTTTATAACCCTCATTTGGTCCTAGTTATTAGATGAAAACTCTCAAAGTTACTTAAGCGTCGCTCAATGTTCGTCCATAACTTATAGTTTACCACTGATAAGTAATCTTGAAATAGACAATAATGAAATCATTATATTCTACAAATCTTGCTTCGTTTTTTCCCTCAATTGTATGAATATTGATTTGGTTCTGTTCACATCATTCATGACTAAATTGTTTACTTGAGTGTAGGATATCTTGAATGATGGTACAGTTTTGTTGGAATATGCATAACTGTTTAGTTTATCTTCTATAATGACCTACATGAAGTATAAGCTATGCATTACTTTTCTTCTTTTTTTCTTGTATTGCAATAATATTATTATAACTTATGCCCTGTTACCCCTATCAATGTATAAAGTAATAATACCGCTAATTAGAGAACAGTGGTTTATCGACCGGACTAATGACGCATAAAACAAGTACGAGAAGTCTAGAGTTTCTATCGGTCCTTCCTCCCCACCCTAGCTCCACTTGTTAAGTACAGAACACCAACCTCAATCTCTGCTATATGAATCGTGCATTTTAAACATACTGGGTTTATATAACCAACCAGACAAACCATATCATACCATAAAATAGGAAACAACATTTGTACAAGATTTAGCCAAAAGTAACTGTAGTTGACAGATTGGGCATAACTCAAGAGGATGGTAAATCTTATAATAATAATTTATAGATCAAAATGAATCTTATATTAAGAGGAATATGAATAAACATAGTTTAGTTACTTAACAATGATGCAATAAAAATATACGTATTATATTAGTCAAGAAATAGATCCCAACAGTTGCCATCCATTATTCTCGTAGGGATATAACATATATTAATGTTTTAATATGTGAATAAGTCCAGTAATAAATATAGAATAGAACTAAAACTGTTTACATAGTTGAATTCATGAGTCGATCTAAGCTGAACCACTTAAGATTTTGGTTTCGAATCACTCGTGAAGGATTATGGATGCACATTGCTGAGGAGTCCCATACTAAGATAGATAACCAACATCAATCTTGATTCACTTTTGAGAAACAATTATTGACAAACGTTTTCAACTTGGTGTAATTTACTTTTCACTGACACGGTGATCATTATTATCAGTCAAATAACTCTTTTAGCTTGTTAACCTTATTCATCATAGATTTTCATCATTTATGAACTAATTGTCTTGATATATTTTAATTTGATTACGGTCCTAATCACTTATTGACTTAATACACATTCCCCCTAAGCAAAGATGGATAGTGGCTAGCAGTGGAATCTAGGTCGCGCGTTTCGTTCTATTCGGGACTCGTCAGCTGTATGTACTTGCACTTCAGAGTTGATGTTCACCATGAGACTCAAACCCAGTACCGTTCACTTCAAATGCCATCACGTTATCCACTTAGCTACTGTGTCATGAGAACCACTTGCTTGTGCAATGGAGGAAAGTTTAAATTCTCTTGGTAATATTTACTTGAATCTTCCAATTGATGACTAGGACTACAATTGATCAGTCTCTTGAAGCGAAGCGTACTAAATTCGAGTCTTAGAGTGAACATCAATTCTGAGATGCAGTTACATCCAGATGAAAGGACTCAAATGGAACGAAATGCGCTTCCTGGATTCCACTGCTAGCCACTATCCATCTTTGCTTACTTTCTAAAATTCTTATAAATCTTAACCATATAGTTACTTATACCTTTTTATGATCTATTCTCATCATTTTAACTTTTTCGCTCCGTTTCGAACAACCATCTATTTTAACTTTAACTAACTAAAGTATGTTAAACAAATGTTTACAATGATATTATCAATTGTAATCTCAGTCTGTTTTCAGTTATTAAAAAGTTATCAAGTAGAACAAATTCATTTTATTCTTTGAATTTTACTATGTTTACTTTGTTTAAATAATTTTAGTTAGTAAATGAGACTCTCCAATAAACCCTTGTTCCTAGAATGAATATATTCATTTGTCCTCTTTTTTAAATGGGATTATTTTAGTGTATTAGATTGAAACTAACTAATTACTTGAATAATATTAACTATTTTTATTAGCAATTTCAACAGTTGAGATCATGAGTCAATTGAAGCTAGACCACCATGGAAAACCTGGAAGCACTAGACGGCCGTTTTGACTCATGATATCAACCGTTGAAGTTACTACAATCTCCACAAAACCCCTTCTGATACTAATCAACATATGATCACTAGTGACTGGCTTCAAGAGGTATATCCTGGAGTTCTGGTGAGAATTAGTGACCAGTGGAGTTCAACCGAGTCAGTTGTTAGATAGTAGCTCATGGATGACTATGGTGAATGTGTAGCTCAATTTCATGGATTAGTTGAAGTTAGACATTAACACCGTTGGATACCTGCTCAGTGGTCTAGTTGGTTAAATGCTTGGCGCGAGACTGATAGGTCCTGGGTTCGAATCTCGTGGGGGGCGGGATCGTAGATGAGCACTGCTTAAGAGTCCCATACCAAGACGAGACGGCCATCCAGTGCTTGTAGGTTTTCCATAGTGGTCTAGCTTCAATTGACTCATAATTTCAACCATTGAGATTTTAGTACTGTTTATCATGTAATTAATAAACAGAATATCAGCAGGCATTTATGTTACTAAAACATTTCACCTATTCTTCCTCTCAACTTTAATTCATGCAATCACAGTTGCCTTTGCTTAATGAATGAAATGAATTTTTTGCATATTGAAAAAAATACAAAACTATATTTGTAAAACATTTTATTGATTTTTTTAAAGAAAAAAATAATCAATATTTGGAAGATCTAGATCATATCAAGTGTATTGTTGAAGAATTCACTTTCACTTACATTGTTTTGATTGTTTTACATTATTCAAAAGATTTAGATAAAACTAGGCTACATTATTATTTTATAATAATGAATCTCTTTAATAGTTTTAATATTATTTCTTTCATTTTCATAATGATCAGCTGATATCGGAATCATTTTAAACTGAAACAACATGGAACTATTATTATTGTTTTGATCAAAATTTGACACTTACCGTCTATACCCTTTTTTTTTGAAAACCTAGAACTTTTAAGTTTAAATGTGTTCAAAATGATAGTATGTAGTCAGGCTCCAAAATTCTTTGGTACGGCTTGGAGTGGAGAAAGTAAGATCTCTCTCTCTCTCTCGAAATGCTCTCACATGGCCACGTGTATACAACCACTACCACAGAAGTCCTACTCATTGCCTTCTCTGATCGATGGTGTTGTTAACGAAATTAAGAAGACGAAATGCGAATGTGCGGCGCTTTAACCGGGTTGGTCGACATGGAGAGTTCACCTAGGGGAGTTAGAAAACCTTGATTACATACAAATGCTGCACATGAATTCTAGGATCCTGAAGGAACAAATGGCGTATGAGCAATCGTTGGTCACCGGTTATCATGAGACTGCATCTCCTGACATTGCTCCACTGCCTTGTGAATCAGAACTTTGAGTCACAGACTCGGGGTGTGGCCCCATAAGGAAACCACCTGCTTCCGTTTGGGCACCTGGGCAGTATTCTAACCCTCACACATATCGGATGATTTATGTGGCTCAAATCTATTTGGTGCCGCTTTTTACCAATGTTTGTGTGTTTAAATAAATAAAATATAAATGGTATTTAGTAACTTACAGTGAAATATTATGAATCTAATAAGAACTGTGAAGATTACATTTTTGCAGTATATCTTTCATGTATTTTAGTCTAATAGATGATTGCTTTCCTGGTACAATATGACCTCTTTATTTTGCTTAGTATTTCTAAGCATAAAAATTGTATAGTATAGGGAGTTATTTTTATTTTAGATATCTGCTGATGACTACCTCAGCTGCTTTAACGTAGTACATGCGATGTTTAGCCACCAAACTATTGTTTTTATTATTATTTATTTAATCACATAAACATTGGCAACGTGAAAAAAGATGTAGTTCCACGGTAGTCGGTGACCAACGATTGGTTCATACGTCATTTGTTCCTTCAGGATACTGAAATCCATGTGCACCATTGGTTTTGAATCAGGGTTTTCCAACTCCCCTAGGTGGACTCTCCGTGTCCACCAACCCGGTTAAAGCGCCGCACATTCGCATTTCGTCCTCTCGATTTCGTAAACAACACCGTCGATCAGAGAAGGCAATGAGTAGGACTTCTGTGGTAGTGGTTGTATACACGTGGTCATGTGAGAGCATTTCGAGAGAAAGAGAGATTTGACTTTCTCCGTTCCCAGCCGTACCAGGGCATTTGGGGACAGTAGTAGTTCTATACCAGGTTGAAGTAACTATCCATCGCTTCTTAGTTTCCAATCATTGTCTAATTAACATTAATCCTCCATATAACTTTCTTCTTAATTATTTCATCTGAAATCAAAATTCATAAAACGAATGAAGTTTGCCTTCAGATGAACCTTCATTAAGTTGTAAATGGAATTCTACACTATATATGTTCGTATATTGTTTGATTTCTTATTTCTTTTTCTTGCCTTACTTTCTTTACATCTAGATGAATAGACTTTTAACAAAAGAAATTAATAAAGATCTAAATGTTCAACATAATGAATTCAATGAAACATGAACAACTTTACTTTCTCATTATTTTTTTTAAAATTTTGTTCTTTTAAATATTAGAATGAATAATTTCCCAAGTGCTCAAAATTATGCAATACAATGATCAATATCGATATGTGGTTGTGTGTGTGTGTACGTGTGTAATCTCTCTCTCTCTCTCTCTCTCTCTCTCTATATATATATATATATATATATATATATATATATATATATATATATATGAATATCTATTAGAACAATTCTGTTGATGTATTTCTTTTTGTACTGTCTCTCCCTCTTGTACCATCTCCATCATCACCCCTATCCCATCATCATCATCATCATCCCCATCCCCATCAACATGTGAAATAAAATCATGAATACTTGATAAAAAGAAAACAACAAAATCTCAGATATCGACTATCATTTACATTCATTCTTTATTGTCATTTTTTTAAATGAAGATGTTTTATTTTTAAAAGTGAAATCATTCAGTGATCTTTTATTTTGTATCTGTGTGTGTATGCGTGTGTGTGTGTTTTGTTTGTTTGTTTGTTTATGTGAATATATTCACATCTGTTTTTTTTAAGAAAAATTTTTTTTTCTCTTTTTGATAGTAACAATGATTACGTAATTTTCTACTACTACTACTATTATTATTATTATTATTAACCCGATCTCGTTTTGTTCTATTTTGTGACTGTATTATTATTATTTTTTGTTTCTCATACAGAATTAGATTAGATTTGTCTTTTTGTTTTTCTATTACATAAAATTAATCTAACGAAGAGAAAAATAAAAACAAACAAGTAAATAAAAGAAAATGGTAAAGAGAAAAATGACTACCTTCATTGTGTTGTTTTTTTTAATTTTCTGTTCATATTTCTAAAATGTTCACTTGTTTATATGTTTCACTTTTTTCTTCTTCTTTTTACTTTTTTTTCTTTTTCGCAGTGGCTTATTTTCTCTCACATAGAGATTGTTGTTACGTTTTCTTTCTGTTTTTTTTTCTTTTTCACAGCGGCTAATCTTCTCTCACATAGATTGTTGTTACGTTTTCTTTCTGTTTTTTTTCTTTTTTTCTTTTTCACAGTGGCTTGTCTTCTCTCACATAGATTGTTGTTACGTTTTCTTTCTGTTTTTCTTTTTCGCAGTGGCTTATTTTCTCTCATAGATTGTTGTTACGTTTTCTTTCTGTTTTTTTCTTTTTCACAGCGGCTAATCTTCTCTCACATAGATTGTTGTTACGTTTTCTTTCTGTTTTTTTCTTTTTTTTCTTTTTCACAGTGGCTTATTTTCTCTCACATAGATTGTTGTTCCGTTTTTTTTGTTTTTTTTCTTTGGTATGCTTTACCTTTACACTATGATTGTTATAATCAATATAAATATAAAATATGGAATTAGATCATGTTGACAAGCAGGTAAGCAAATGTTTGTTTATTTTTTTTAATACAAATAAATGAGTTTTGTTTGTTTTCTGTTGCTAACTGTTTAAAAGGTGATCTTTTCTCTGTGTGTATATCAAAAGATGATAGTTTATACCTTTTAAACAATCGTAATAATGTTAAGTATGTAATAATCTGTGAATATTACTGATGATATTATGTCTATTCTAACAAGAGATACTAGACTTTAACTCAGGTTAGGATCTGAAAAGTTGGAAAAATGAACATTTCGCAAATATAATCAAAATGATCTTGATTGTCTAGTAATAGTATTCTGACATTAGACAATGAGTTTTAAGCGTTCTTTAAACCCTGAGCTGAGCTATTTCATTTACTAACTTACATATGTGTTGTATGCAGTATAAGCTATATTGCTATATAGAGCTGAAGATATTGTGGATGGTTCAGCCTCTAATTTGGCAAGTTTTGCTGACTGTTCATGTACAAAATTGGTTTGCTGATCAACTGATTTCATTTGTACCTGTGGTTGTTTTTCAGTGTTCTCAAGGGTCATTGTCATTGGGCGGGACATTGTAAGACATGTCGCCATTGATTACATTAATGTGTTTGACTGTCGTGTAAGCGGAATAGGTCAACTTTGACCTATTCGTGCAGTGAATAACTGATTCACGCGACCATTGATCGGAATAACTATACATGTGATGTGAATGTGTAAACGAAGGGTGTGAATAGTCCACCAGGGTGTTTAGTACCTTTGTGGTTGCGCCACAGAATTGAGCTGTACTATTCAGATCGCAGTGTCAAAGAACTATACAGTGTCTAGTTCCTCTGTGAAACAAGATTGAGCTGCTTGAGTTGTAAAATTTAAGTCTGGTTCTCCTGTAAACAAGGTTGAGCCCTAATATTTGGGCTACAAATTGTAAGCCCGGGTAGTGTCTGGCTCTCCTGTTAAACGAGATTGAGCTGTACTGTCTGTGTTGTCACGTGAAAGTTTAAATGGTGTCTTGTTCTCCTGAAAACTGATGTAAAATTACCCTGACCCACAAGGGTATATTATATAACTTATATTATTTAACTATCTAACAAGCTACATTATTAGTTAAAAGTTTTAGTTAATTATAATGGTGGATGGTAGCTTAATTTCGTGGGTTGGTTGAAGTTAAACATTAAAATCGTTGAATGCCGGCCGGCTCAGTGGTCCAGAGGTTAAGCGTTCACTCACTAAACCGATAGGTCCTGGGCTCGAATATGACAGGGCGGGGTCGTGGGTGTGCATTGTTGAGGAGTTCCACAGTAGGACGAAACGGTGGTCCAGTGCTTCCAGGTTTTACAAGGTAGTCTACCTTCAATTGACCCATGAACTCAACTATTAGATTACTATAATATCCACAAAATCCCTTTCTGATAATTAATTATTCATCCATAAATTACGCTTATTCTCATAATCCTATTCAAGTGTTTAATGAGTTATAGAAGGCATTTATAATCATAAGTTTGTATAAAACATTTCTAATCATTTCACCGTGCGATTTGCTTGTTGGACTCGTAGCAGTGTTTTTATGTGGCTTTTCTACGTTCAGTAGGACGTTGATAAATACTTCAACTAGAGCATTGTCCGAGTCAAAACATGTGCTACAGGATGAATGACAGTTTTCAATCGAACCCCTCGAACGATGGCTAACGGTAATATGGTCTATTTGAATCTATTGATTATTCGATTATGGAGGTTGCCACGTTAGATAGTGTTTGTCCTTATGGTTAAAGTTAGTGTTTGCGAGAAATAAATGGTTATCTGAGCATAGTTGTGTTATATTTAGAGCTTATATTCCTGATATACGCCGTATAACTTGAGCACTAGAACGCTAGAACCCTTCCAATCGCAACGAGAAGACAGAAAACTAGTGAAAGGAATTTTTATTCCAGAGGGTATCGACGACAACTCTAGTCGAAAATACACTCGCATATATATAGATTGTACACACACTTTGATTGATAATTAGGATGAAATCACATATATAAAAATACTCAGTTATTACAAATCATATGCTGAGCATAGTTCATGTCAACTTAATACAACAATATCGTATGTTATACAGAATAAAAGATCACATTGGATAACAAAACAAATACTGCATTGAGTAATTATGACATTGGATTAGAAAACGGAAGTAATGTAGAATAAACTTCATAATTATTAAGTCAATCGGATTTTGACTTTTCTTTCCATCATATCAAGTTGTAACAGATGGTCGTTATTATCTGTTTGCTGAGTCGCAACACCATAAGATTCGCCTAAAGTCAATTCGGTTTGGTCTAGTTTACCTACTTAAGCATTAAAATCACCTACCACTTACTACTCAGAGAGTCTAACTTTTTGAAGGAGGTCGGGTAGCTCTACACAAAATCCATCTTTAACTTAGTCCGAGCTGCAATCAGTGGGAGTGTAGGTCGAAACAACGAGAAGGCAAGGTCGTGTGTCCCTAACTTTTCGAGTTCATATTGTCCCGTTTAGTTGAACAGCTCATATGTGAATGTATATAGGCATCCAATCGAAAAAGGATTGTTATATCTTGAAAATTAGTGCTACATCAACAGTAGCGCGGCTGCGTAAATTAGCTGTGGGAGTCTCCAGATATATGAAGGGTAAATCTTGGCAGTTATTTATATTGACAAAATGAGTTCAAATGAATGACTATACTTGAAACCTGTATGGACGTTTCGGACATGCAGTATTCATCGATGGCGTAAAACTTTAAAGTCATAATTAAAGAAACCTGTTTTCCTAACCGACTCGGGGTTCGAACATTAAAAGCTCCAAAATGTAGTCAAGAGTCTGGTTTCAGGAGGCTAGGACCTAAAAAGAAAGCTAATTTAGTGGTGGTCTTAGCGACCTGGAAGTGTGACTACAAAGCTCAATAGACAACTAATAGAGGCCGGTCACGCACAGTCTGGCGAAAGAAATCTGTGGGTAATGTGTGGTCCGATATTTTTACAGTCGACCTTTCCTAATCCCTCCCATCACCATTGCAGATACTGGTTGTCCGATGGATCACTCAACTACTGTCTCACCTCTCAACATCCGGAGGCACGACTTCGCCCTCGGGCCTCAAGTTGCTGCTTTTGATCTCACTGTTCTCCAACCAACATGCTTGGCATGGTATGATCTAAAAGATATGTTCCAGCAAATTTTGCTCGAATGAATCACCGAAACAGGCAAACACGAATACCACGTCTAGGTAGCAGATGCAGTCGCGTTATTTGTTTCTGTTCATGACTAGTAGCGTCGCTGTTTCATCGCAAATCATTCAAAGGATTTACTTTAGCGAATCAGTTTTGTAACAAGTCGTCACTTGACCACACTCCTTAACACCAATTAATTTATCCATATTCGTTTTTTTCATTTGGAAAGTCGGAAACTCGTTTATAAAATTATAAAAGAATACTTCTCAGCATACATAGAATTGTTATTATTACATACAACTTCCTGATTCAAGTCACTTTGTTTTCAGTGAGCATACAGTATAGAATACTAGTTAATTAATACTTAGTTGCATTTGTACCTGGTTAATTTAAATACAATGAAAACATGAATAACAATAAAAGTTCCTAACACTGATCCATTCATGATATCAATCTAAACTAAACAATCTCCACAACCCTATACTGATAATTATCATGTGGTCACTAATGACTAGATTCAAGCTGGATTTTCTGAAGTTCTAGTGAGAAGCTGTGACCAGTGGAGTCCAACCATGTTTGTTATGAAGCAGTGAATCACTGAAG